TATTTTGGGGTTAGACTGTCCAAATTGCACTGTATAATATGTTTTGAATTAATATGTTCTTGGGTTTTTTTGAAATATATATATATATATATATTAATTCAACATTAATCTAAGTTTCTGGACAAGAAAGAGGGTAAGCAGTTGAAATTTCATTCTAAAACTCATCTTTTTTGGTCTTTTCATGGCTTATGATYTGTCAAATTTGTAGTTTTCTTTATTGGTTTTGAGTGTTTTCTTAAAACTCAAGTTTCTTGATTCTTTGCTCTTGGTGTAAATCGAACATATTTATGGAGTCGTTTAAATATGTTGGATTATAAATATATTGGATTTAAACTGTCATACAATTTTTTTCATCGATAGTCTGTAATTGGAACCATAACTCTTATTTATTCAAATTGTATTAATATGTAAAGACCAAGTGTAACATATATCATCGTTAAATCTTATCTTATAAAATCAGTGGAACTTCAAAATCGTTAAAATTCATGGCTCTCGTCGCATTACGCGGGTACACAACTAGTAATCAAATAAGGAGATTGAATGATTTGAGTTTAAATATTAATATAATAACATTAATTTATTAATTAGATAACTCTCCATCCTATATTGGTTAATTAGATGTTAAAAAAGAGAGCAAAAATGTCGATAGTTGAATTTTAATATCTATTGATAAACATAAAAACGATATATTTCCATATATCACATGTGGAATATGATGAAAACACTTCTAGTATATTAATAAGGAAAAACGATGGCTTTGTTTTTTGAAAAAAATCTCTGGTGTAACCAAGATTTTTGTGTTAATTTTGTTAATCGAACTCAACCAATCATATTTCATCTTTTTTTAGGTTCACATATAACTCATATATTAATGACAAGGGTAATTAAGTAATTTATCATTTATGTAACTCCCAATCATTAATTGAGAGTTACAAATCTAAAAATCTCAATAATTGATGATTATGTAATATTGATTTTTTTATACGTGTTAATGTTTTGTAATTTCGATTTATTCTATTCATAATGATATTGATTTTGCAATTGTTAAAGAATTTCCGATTGTAAAAATTTCGATATCGTCCGAGTAATATGGATAAACCTATTGGAAAATAGATCGACAACAATGAGAATGAAAATGTTAAAATCGTCTACGACTACAATCGGAATTCGAATTCATATGTAATTGTTAAAGAATTATTCACAAATGTTCATATTGTGTTCACATGTACACTAACTGCATATCTCAACATTGGCTTGCTCCTGAATGTGTTCATAATGAATGAACTATTGTTCACAAACTGTTCATATTGTGTTCATATGTACACTAGC